GGTGCAGCGCCACTCCCCCCCTGCCCCCGTGGCACAGCGCCTCTCCTGCGGCACAACCCCGAGACCCCTGCATCCCAGCCAGCAGCAAGAGCCCCCAGTTCAGCCCTGATGGCGTGGGGCTGTTCAGCCACTGGTTTGGGCACTCACCAGGCATTGCCTGCAGCTCCTGCATCCCTCGATGCTCCTTGGGCAAGGTGAGCTCCGGTGCCTCTCACCCAGGCATGGGGCTGTCTTCTGGCTCCTCACTGCAGTGCCACAGCATCGCCTGCAAGGACGAGAGCCCTGTGAGGATCCAGTGACCAGAGACTCGGGTCATGGGAGACATTGACCCCAGGCGCTCTCAGCTCATCCCTGATGTCCTGGAGCAGCAGGGCTCTCACTGAACTGGCCACGCCAAACGATGCAGAGGACACACACACCCCCAACACACTCTGTGCCTGCCCAGCGGGCTGTGGGTGATGGGGATTTGGGGCGAGCAACCAGAGGTGACCCAGCATGCCTGTGGGCCACACAGAGACCAGTATGGTGACATCTGTCCCTGCAGCAGACAGACACACTTCTCAGCTGCCAGCTCAGGCTGTCACCATGCCATGGCAGCCTCTGCTTCTCTGTGCACGTGTGTTCTGCATGTGCAAATGTGTGTGTACACTGTCAGCAGGGGCACAGCCTCACGCCTTTGCACCAGGGATGCGACGGTGCTGCCACCACTGTGGAAAATGCAATGGGAGGTACAGTGGGGAAAATGGGGCGGGAGGTGGGTGGGAAAGGTATTTTTGAATAAAATCCACTCCTGTTCTGAAGGTGCCAGATCGGAAGCACAGACATGCCAGAGCCTGAGGCCCCTGTGCAGCCCCAGCCCACTCTGGGCAAAAAGCACTTTTTTCTGCTAAAAGCAACAAAGCTTAAACCAATCTGACCCAGCGCTTGGCAGCTGCAGCGCAATGCCAGCCCCAGAGTTACCTCATCCCTGTCCTTCGTCATGGCAGGTAACAGATAAACCTTTGCACCCCCAAGCCCCTTTTCACCACAGCGTGTTACACCCACAAGCTGTGGGGGTCTCACCCCACAAAGAAGCAGCTCCCACGTGATGGGCTGCTAACAAGGTTTGTGTGGAGGAAGCCGAGTGGGACCACGATCCCCACACCATCACCATCCCGCTGCCGCCTTCTGTCTCTCGGTGCTGGGGACGGTCCAGGCAGAAACAAGGATGGGTTGGGTGCTCTTGGGTCTCTCCAAGCACCAGGTGATGCCGTCACCAGCTCGGCACGCTGAGCCGGATGTAGCAGGCCTGGGTTTTGGTTTGGGTGTATCTATCTTCTCACTGAACTTTGTAGTCTGATCTCATCCCAGTGTAGGTCTGCAAGAGAAAGTCTCCTTTATCTGATAACGTCAGCATGGCTGGGACTGCACAGCATGCTAAGGTGCAACACGCCAGGTGCTGCAGGAGCACACACGGAAATAAATAACACCACACAGGCAGGAAGACAAGCTCTACTGTTTATTGCTGGTGTTACTGAGGGAAGGGGGAATCAACCACAGTCAAGGCAAACCCCCCAAGGTGCGTCTCCTAAGGGCCAGGGCAGCAGCAGCTCCCGCCCGCAGCGGCTCTGCAGGGTGCAGCGAGGATGGTGGCATCTGCAATGGGATGGGATAGGAGGATCAGGGAACCAGGATGTGCCTTGCCATACCATGTGTGTCTGTCTGTCTGTCCATGTGCCCACCCCTCCTGCCCCTCACCCCGTCCTGCCCTGATGGACCCAGGTGATGGGCCCTGAGCAGATCCCCCATCCAGCGAGAGGTTGCCAGCAACTTTTTGCTGCAGGACAGGTCACTCTTGTCACCTGTCCATGGCCATTTCAGCACTGCAGTGACCCTGTGTCTTAAGTCAGGTGTCAGTGGAAAGGAAGACTCTGGGAACCCACTTGGCTCTGTGCAGCAGTGACTTCATAAACCAGCACCAGCATGCCCAGCTTACCAGAATATGCCCAGCTCCTTCCTCCGGTTGATGTCTCTCTTCAGCTGGCAGAGCATGCACATGGGGCAGCAGATGGTGGACATGAAGTCACCCATAATGGAGCCCTGCGGAGCAAGGGACGCTGTATGAATAACCCCTTCCCACATCAGCTTTTAAGCCTTCCTATTTTTCATCAACACCCCTGGGCAGCTCACCCCTGGCCCCGCAGCACACTGCCGCTCGTGCCCGGTGAGGGCTGTGGTATGCGGTGGGATTACTTCCAGCTCGCAGCAGGGATGCGTGTGCATCCCTGGCTCCCTGCCTGCAGGGCTGCCCATGCAACTCCCTGCTGCTGCTCTTCCCTTGGGGCTGCCCATGCAACTCCCTACTTGCTCCTCCCTTCCTCCTTCCCTGAGCCCGTGCCCCAGCACCCAGCTCCCCGCGCTTGGTCACTGACCGGGATGTTGTATCTGGTGCGGTAGAGGGTCCTCATGGCCACACTGGCGCCGCACAGGCAGCACTCGTTCATGTCCCCAGCCACTTGGCAGGGGAGGCAGGGGAAGAAGAAAGATCCGCAAAAACCTGCAGGACACCGAGGCAAGCGGAGAGCGCTGCTGCCCCATGCTCGTCCCTGATGTGCAGAGTGGGGGCCTGGGGGGCACTTCCTCTTTCAGCCTCGCAGCACGGTGAGGGGACAGGCTAACCACTGACCGGGATGTTGTATCTGGTGCGGTAGAGGGTCCTCATGGCCACGCTGGTCCCGCATAGGCAGCACTCGTTCATGTCCCCAGCCACTTGGCAGGTGAGGCAGGGAAAGCAGAAAGCTCCGCAAATACCTGCAGGACAGCGAGACACAGGCTTGGCTGAGGGGTGCAAAGAAAGAGGGAAGGGGGGGAAAGCTGGCCAGGGATGCGGCCATGGGAGCTGCAGCTCGTGACCTCAGATGGGAGCCGCTCTGCCACTGGTGGTCACAAAAGCGGGGCTTGCAGCAGGGGCGATGCCACAGAAGGAGCGGGGAAAGCACCAGAAACATATCATGAGCCAACACAACACCAGGAACGAGGGGTACGTATGTACTCACACACGCCAAAGTCGGAGCAGCAGTCCATCAGCCCCGACTGCCACTGGCCTGCCTGCGGGGCAGTCGAAAACTGGGGCTGGACTGTGATCACGTGGTGAGTGGCCATTGCCAGCACGGGGTCAGGTCCCTCCAGGCAGTTTGTGGTCTGGAAGGAAAAGCCACCAGAGAAAGATGCCACAGGTGTTTCTGAGGTGGGTGCCTTGCTCCAGCTGCTGCATTCGGAGACAGACAGGGCAGCACAGGTCCCTAAGGGGTCCCCCCTGCCAGGGCACCACCACCCCCACCCCAAAGTGGGGGGCACAGCTCTGCCAAGTGCTGCTACTCTCCTTTGCAGCAAAGCCCTCCCCAGAACCACCCCCCCGCCAAAGGCAGCAGCACCTTCTCCCCCTGCCTACGCAAGTAAAATGCCTCTGTGAAAGCAGAGGTTTTTCTGCCTCAGAACCTCAGTGCTTCGACACTTCAATCCTTTCTTCTCATCCCCAGTTCATCTTTCATCATTATCTGCTGAAAATGGTCATGTTTTTAATGTTTGCAGTGTCCCAGAGCTACTACAGCTCAGTCGTAGCTTTCTCAAGCTCCCAGTAGTCACTTTAATCTTTGCTTTGTTCCCTGAGCATCTCAGCCTGTTTGCCTCCCCCTCTCCCTTTCTTCTTCACCTGCTCTCTTAAGCAGGCTTCAAAGCAGTGGGTTTTCCTTGTCCCATCCCATCACCCTAAGCCCAGTCACCAGTTCCCATCCCTCCTCCACCTGCCAGCACCTCATCCTCTTCTTAGTTCCCTGGGGCCACTGTGGCCCCTGGAGGCCCGCTCCTGCCCATCCTTCCCCAGTGAGGGGCTGCAGCTTCTGACAGTAGCAGAGCTCCTGCTCTGCAGCACCATCCCCAAACCCACCTGACCCACCTAACAACTCCATCTCTATCTCCAGCTGTGGCCCTTTCCCTGCCCCCTGCAAGGCACAGCACCACCCTCTGCCATTGTCACTTCAGCTTTGGAGCTTTAACAAAAAAAATTCTTAAAAAATAGGGGACGGTCCCATAGGAAGTCCCACGCAGACACACTCCCTGCCCAAGCTTGGCGCAGCTCTGTCAAGCAGCACGGTGATGAGGTGCAAAGGCTCCTCTGCTCTTACAGCTACGAGGGCTCTCTCCTGCTCCCGGCACACAGCCACGCATCCTCAGCAAAGAAATCATCAGGAGGAAAGCAGCTCGAGCTTTGGAGCCCGTAACCGCGGGCTGCTGCTCCTTTGCCCAGGAAGGGTCCCAGGGCAGCGCCCTGGGGAGGCGCTTCCCCGCCGCCACGTCCCCACACAGCCCTGGGGCACATCTGTGATGGATTTAGGGGCATTTGACAGAGCACCTTCGGACAGTCCGTGCCCAGGTCTGACATGTTTGTCCTGCCTGCACGGGCAGCACTGCTGCCTGTTGGGATGAGGGCTGGGGGCGTGCTGAGCAGCCCTCCCCACCCCCCCTGCCCTGGGGTTCCCTGCCCTTGTGTGACAAGGGAGTGCCCGAGTTTCAGGGTGGTGGGAGGAGCAAGAAGAAAAACAGGGGAAGTATTTACATTCTGAAGCAAGGAGTGATGGCATTAATCCCTGTAAATCCTGTTAAAACACCATGAAGGGAATGGGATTAATTTTCACGGTAGAATTACACATCTACACAGAACTTAAGTATCAAACACAAGTCTCCAGGAATACCACAGAATAACTAGATTACTATGCCCAGCACTCAGATGATGCCATCGACTGCGTTACCGGCACCAGGGAGACGCAGGCTGTGGCGTTGCGTACGCATCGACTTGTCATCAAAGGGGTCGGTGGCTCTGCCAGCTGCTCCCCATCATTTAGGGACTGGCCGGGGCACACCTCTGCTGTCAGACCCAGCCTATTTCTGTACAGCCAACCCTTGTCCCCTCCTAGCACACGGAGAGGAAAAGGGGTTGCTGAATTGCACCATAAGAGGGAAGAAAGCTTGTAAGGAGTCTCTACGGGATTTGCTCATGACTTTTTGCAGCTCTCTGCAGGTGGGCTGACCATGGGGTCTGAGACACCGGTATCTGCTCCTGTTAGGTGACGAGGGGCCTCGACAGGCGAACCGGCGGCTGGTGGGATTGCCTCAGTTACCGGCCCTCGCCAAGGGTTAAAAGACAAGGGGCTGTTGAGCAGTAAAAATGCTGCTGTGCCCTCTCCAGGGCAAGTCGCCCAGCTGTTGGCAGGGACCTCTGGGGTGACCACAGGCAACCCCACCACCTGTGGGTGCAGGGGGGCCCATGGTGCCCATCATCCCTCACCAGACACCTCCTGCCCCTGCCCTGGCAGGCTGTCCCTGCTTGCTCATGCACGAGGCCCCAGGTAATTCCCATCACCCCTGCAGCCGATGTAACACCTTATGGCACACGAAAATGGCAGCCCCTGCAGGGATCCTGGGCATAGGACAGTTTAAGAAGCAGGAGCCTGGAGGGGCAGGGGAAGGGACAGGCCATAGACAGGCCATGTGGCAGGGGGGCCAGGCAAGGACAGCATGGGCATCCCATGCAGGGACAGGGATGCCCAGCAGCAGGCAGGACTGCAGGGACCACAGGGAGAAGCATGCGTGGGGGCAGCAGCAGGAAAAGGTTTAGGGGCAGGACCCCCACCGGCCTGCCGTGCCAAAGGAGGCGCTCCCCCACTGCCAGGTAACAAGATTAATAGCAGCGCATGGTGAAAAACCAGCTGAGCAGTGCCTACTGCCACACACACACACACACACACTTTGCAGGCAGGGCTGACCATGGACTTCCCCTTCTTCCCCCCAAACAGAGCGCGCCGCGTCCCTGGGTGGATGGAGGCTGCAGCGCAGAGCAAGCAGCAGCCTAGAGAAGCCTCCTCTGCCGCACGCTCATCTCCTGAGAGGTGGCTCAGACCCAGCACGCCCAGCACATCACCCCAAGTGCCCCCAAATCTACAGCTCCACCAGCAGTGTGGGAACTGCTGACAGGAACAAAGCAGACCCTGAGGTGCATACAGCCACATTTCACCCATAAACAAGGTCATAAAGCAGCATTTTGTTATGTATAGGCACGCATACAGGCACACAAATGAACAGTACTATGCAAAAGCAGCCATCCTCCACCTCTGCTGCCCAATTCTGTCAATACGCCCATCAAGCACCTCTGGTCTAGCTCTGAAGTAGTTTTCCAGGTAGAAAACCTCACCTCTGTATCCACCCTTCCCCAGAGCACCGCTTCAGCCACCAGCAGATCCCATAGTTTTTTAGTGCAGTGCTTGCTGAAGCAAAGCCAAGCCATACATACCTGCCAAACTGCCTTTGTCCAGGGAGACGTACCTCCCTTTCCTGGTTCCCATTGTATATATACACCTGGGTGCTCCCCGGCAAACGACCTCTGCTCCCTCTGACGAACCGAACGATGCCTGTGCTGCTTTAGCAACCGCGGCGTTAACGCCTGCGGCTCCCCTGCTGCTGGTTCTGCAGGGCTCCCGCTGCCCCCCGCACCTTTCCCCACCCCAGCACCCCGCAGGCGCAGAACCCCGATGGGACAGGCCGCTTTTGGTGGCGGGTTTCAGAGAAGGGCAGTTTGCATCCAGGCTCCTGTGCTGCCCTGAGCTGCCCACCGCTGCAGGTGCAGTACCTTTCCTTCATTAAGCCTGAGCATCAGCAAGAACTGACCCGAACGCCGCTGGGGGGTGACACAGGTGCTGCCTGGAGGTACAGCTACGAAATCATACCACACTGTGCTGGGATGAGACAGCGGCACAGTATTTCTTCTCTCCCCTCCTCCACATTCCTGGCCTTTACCTCTCTTAGGCTAAAACTGCAGGTTTCTGCATTTCCAGGGATCATCTACAGGACTGTCTGGGACATCTGGGGCTTAGGCAGGTGGGAGTGCCACAGCTCAGGCCCATCCCGCAGCAGTGACAGAACCTCTGCCTGCCCTTTGTAAGGTTTGTGGTGAAGGTGACAGCAGAGGGGGACAGAAATACCATATTTTCCTTAGAGAGTGAAGCTGGGGGGGGGCGGGGGAGAGATTTGTAGGGATCAAAAATCCTTTTCACAGAATCACAGAATGGTAAGGGTTGGAAGGGACCTCGGGAGATCATCTAGTCCAACCCCCCTGCTAAAGCAGGTTCACCTAGACCAGGTTGGACAGGGCATCATCCAGGCGGGTTTTTAATATCTCCAGAGAAGGAGACTCCACAACACCCCTGGGCAGCCTGTTCCAGCGCTCTGTCACCCTCAAAGTAAAGAAGTTTTTCCTCATATTCAACTAAAACCTCTTATGTTTCAGTTTGTACCCATTGCCCCTTGTCCTGTCGCTGGACACCACTGTGAAGAGTCTGTTTCCGTCCTCGTGACTTCCACCCTTAAGATATTTGTATGTGTTGATGAGGTCCTCTCTCAGTCTTCTCTTCTTCAGGCTGAACAAGCCCAATTCTCTCAGCCTTTCCTCGTAGGGGAGATGCTCCAGTCCCTTTATCATCCTAGTTGCTCTCCTCTGGACTCTTTCTAGGAGTTCCTCATCTTTCTTGAACCGGGGAGCCCAGAGATGGACACAGTACTCCAGGTGGGGTCTCACCAGGGCAGAGTAGAGGGGGAGGAGAACCTCCCTTGACCTGCTGGCCACACTCCTCTTAATGCACCCCAGGATACCATTGGCCTTCTTGGCAACAAGGGCACATTTTTCCTCTCTCAAGGCGATAGAGAGGGTGGATGTAACCTTTGCCTTTTGGATGGGAAGCGTACCACTGACAGCCCAGGGCGGGCAGGGGTGCTCCGCCTGGCTGTGCCCGGGAGGCAGCAGGGTTTGCCCATGGAGACGCTTGGCCAACCCATCACCCTAAAAGGTTTTTAATTGCAGGCGGGTGGGAATTCTTGCTCAGGGTCTGTAGGGGAGCGTGTCTCTGCAACACAGGAGGTGGGCGGGTGCCAGGCATCCAAAAATCCCCGTGGCTTTATGTCCAGAAAGGTGGGACTGGCCAGCAGTCCCAGCTGGCCTCCTGGGCCACTGCAGCTCTGTGCAGCACTGACTCCTCCTAGGTACTAAACATCCTTTCTGGAAACTGAGCGAGTAACAAAGCAATAGTGAAAATCTTTCCCTGCGGCAGGCGCAG